ATTGTATTATTTTCCATATGAACAGTCCTGTATATCAAACATAGGCCAGGACACTTGAGTGAGGACTTGTAAGAAATTAAAAACAATTAAACCCACTGCCTTCCCACTTCCAGTTGGCTAAAAATGCATTTTCTACCTTGTCCAAAAAGCACGGAAGCATTGCCTGGAAGAGAGATTTGTACACCAAAAAGATCATTGTACACAGAGTTCATGACAGCCTTATTTGCAATAGCCATGAGGCAGAAGCAGTCCACAGAGGGAATAAGTGAAGAAAATGTGGGTCCACAATGGAATATTACTCAACGTTAAAAAAGAAGGAAAATCACATCCATGGTATTATTACATAGAATTCAGGGGTGTCCAATCTTTTGGTGTTTGTAGACCACTCTGGAAGAAGAAGAGTTGTCTTGGGCCACACATTAACTACACAAACACTAACAAAAACTGATGAGCAAAAAGTTTTAAGTAAATGTGTGGTTTTGTTTTGGGCCACATTCATAGCTATCCTGGGCTGCATGCTGCCCATGGAACATGAGTTGGACACAGATGAACTTTGTTTTTATGCTCAGTGAAATAAGCCAGCCACAAAAAGGGAAATAGTGTATAATTCCACTAGTATGAGCTAGCTAGAGTCGTCATAGAGACAGAAAATAATGGTTTCCAGGGTCTGGCTGGTGGGAGTAGGAAATGTTGAGTTGTTTAATGGGCATAAGACTTTAGTTTTACAGGATAAAGAGTTCTGGAAGTTGGTCAGACAATATGAATGAACTTACTATTGAACTGTACACTTAAAAATGGCCATGGCTGGTGTGACTCAGTGGATTGAGTGCCAGCCTGCGAACCAAAGTGTTGCTGGTTTGATTCCCAGTCTGGGCATATGCCTGGGTTGCAGGCCAGGTCCCCAGTAGGGGGTGCTTGAGAGGCAACCACCCATTGATGTTTCTCTCCCTCTCTTTCTCTCTCCCTTCCCCTCTCTCTAAAAATAAATAAATAGATAATTTTTTTTTTTAATGGTTAAGGTGAGTCTATGGCCATACCACACTGAGCCAGGCCAATCTTACCTGGTCTCTGAAAAAAATGGTTAAGGTAGTAAATTTCATGTTATGTGTATTTTACTACATTAAAAATCATAAATAAATAAAATAAAGAAGTACTCTGCCAAGATTTTAACTCATTTCTTCCCAACAGGCCTCAGAAGACAATGGCTGCTGCTAAGGGAATGGCCATTGGCATTGACCTGGGCACTACGTACTCGTGCGTGGGGGTATTCCAGCACGGCAAGGTGGAGATCATTGCCAACGACCAGGGCAATCGCACCACCCCCAGCTACGTGGCCTTCACGGACACCGAGAGGCTCATCGGGGATGCGGCCAAGAACCAGGTAGCCATGAATCCTCAGAACACTGTCTTTGATGCCAAACGTCTGATTGGCAGAAAATTTAATGATCCTGTGGTGCAATCAGATATGAAACTTTGGCCCTTTCAAGTAATCAATGAAGGAGGCAAGCCCAAGGTATTGGTATCCTACAAAGGGGAGAAAAAGGCTTTCTACCCTGAGGAAATTTCTTCTATGGTACTGACTAAGATGAAGGAGACTGCTGAGGCTTTTTTGGGTCACTCTGTCACCAATGCTGTGATCACTGTGCCAGCCTATTTCAATGATTCTCAACGCCAGGCCACCAAGGATGCAGGTGTGATTGCAGGTCTCAATGTGCTAAGAATTATCAATGAACCCACAGCTGCAGCCATCGCCTATGGCTTAGATAAAGCAGGTCAGGGAGAGCGACATGTCCTGATCTTTGATCTGGGTGGAGGCACATTTGATGTGTCCATCCTGACCATAGATGATGGGATTTTTGAGGTAAAGGCGACAGCTGGGGACACCCACCTGGGAGGGGAGGACTTTGATAACAGGCTGGTGAGCCACTTCGTGGAGGAATTCAAGCGGAAACACAAGAAAGACATCAGCCAGAACAAGCGAGCCGTGAGGCGGCTGCGCACTGCTTGCGAGAGGGCCAAGAGGACCCTGTCGTCCAGCACCCAAGCAAACTTGGAAATTGATTCACTTTATGAAGGCATTGACTTCTACACATCCATTACCAGAGCCCGGTTTGAAGAGTTGTGTGCAGATCTCTTTAGGGGCACCCTGGAGCCAGTGGAGAAGGCCCTTCGGGATGCCAAGATGGATAAGGCTAAAATCCATGACATTGTTTTAGTAGGGGGTTCCACCCGCATTCCTAAGGTTCAGAGGCTGCTGCAGGACTACTTCAATGGGCGCGACCTCAACAAGAGCATCAACCCCGACGAGGCGGTGGCCTATGGGGCGGCGGTGCAGGCAGCCATCCTGATGGGGGACAAGTCAGAAAACGTGCAGGACCTGCTGCTGCTGGACGTGGCTCCCCTGTCACTTGGGCTGGAGACGGCCGGAGGCGTGATGACTGCACTGATCAAGCGCAACTCCACCATCCCCACCAAGCAGACGCAGATCTTCACCACCTACTCGGACAACCAGCCAGGGGTGCTGATCCAGGTGTACGAGGGCGAGAGGGCCATGACAAGGGACAACAACCTGCTGGGGCGCTTTGACTTAACTGGAATCCCTCCTGCACCCAGAGGAGTTCCTCAAATCGAAGTGACTTTTGACATTGATGCCAATGGTATTCTCAATGTAACAGCCACAGACAAGAGCACAGGCAAGGCCAACAAGATCACCATCACCAACGACAAGGGCCGCCTGAGCAAGGAGGAGATCGAGCGCATGGTTCTGGATGCTGAGAAATATAAAGCTGAAGATGAGGTTCAGAGAGAGAAAGTTGCTGCAAAAAATGCCTTAGAATCCTATGCCTTTAACATGAAGAGTGCTGTGAGTGATGAAGGCTTGAAGGGTAAGATTACTGAGTCTGATAAAAAGAAAATACTGGATAAATGTAATGAGGTCCTTTCATGGCTGGAGGCCAATCAACTGGCTGAGAAAGATGAGTTTGATCATAAGAGAAAGGAATTGGAGCAACTGTGTAATCCAGTCATTACAAAACTCTACCAGGGAGGATGCACTGGGTCTGCCTGTGGAACAGGGTACTCACCTGGAAGGGCTGCCACAGGCCCCACCATTGAAGAAGTAGATTAATACTGTCTGTAGCTGGAGGGTTCTAGGGTGCCTCTAAGGTGAATTTGTTCCCCTCATCTTCAAACATTGTTATGATTCTTGAATTGACTGGACCTGAACATGAGTTACCATCGTTTCGGGATTCTAATGGAAGAGTCTTATATGCCATCTTTTCACACTCTAATGTCCTGTTTCTGACTCTGGAATGAGACTTCTAGGAAAATTTGGCTCCTTTCTGAACCACCTGATGAACTTGAATGTTGTTTATTTCTAGCCTCCCTAACCTTCTTCCTGTGTGGATTGTTGTCACTCAGTAAATCTGTTCCTAAAGCAAATTTCTTCTGATATCTGTAGACTGTGAGTGTGTCTTGAAAACCAAGAAAAAGGAAAGTTTATGGACAGAGCATGTATGGTCTGATTATGAGCTAATTGTGAGTGATTAAGCTGGTAAGGCAAAATATTCAAATTTTCATGAGCTAATTGTTCTAAGCAGGAAAACAACTTGATCATTCGGCACTTTCAGCCCCAGCTGGAGCAGTTGCTGACTATAATTACTGCTTATGTTCTATGACAAACCGCTTTGGGTGCTTAGGGTTCAGCTAAGGGGCACACTTCTCCTTGCTGTTACCTACAGGTGCGATCTAAATCCAGCATCTGTGCACTTGAAGTCCATTATTACATATTTTACATGCAGAAAACATTTCTATAACAAACTCTTGACAAATGGGTACCTTTGTGCAAAATGAGACATGGAGGATTTTAGTATGGTCTTATTCCTTGAAAAAGTATTTTCACCTATTTTGTCATATCACATGTTTATAAAAGTCTTGGAGGCATGAGTATAGAAATACCTGTAATTGCATTTGTAAACCTTTGTATTTATGGAGGCATATTTGGATGTGAAATATTATTTACTAATCGCAAGGGTTTCGCAGTTTGAGGTACTTTATTCAATAAGGAGACATGGTTGTCACAAGGTATTTATAGTCACTTGCAGCAAGTAAAGGAGCCGGGATTCATACTCAAAGCTTTCACTGTTTATGTACACTATTTGGTCAAGTACATGTTGAGTTCTTTTGCTTTTAAAGATTTTATTTATTTTTTCAGAGAGGGGAAGGAAGAAAGGGAGAGAAACATCAAAGTGTGGTTGTCTCTCGCGCGCCCCCTATTGGGAACCTGGCCAGCAACCCAGGCATGTGCCCTACCTGGGAACCAAAGCAGCAACTCTTTGGTTCTCAAGTCGGTACTGAAGCCACTGAGTCACACCTGACAGGGCTGTTTATTTCTTCGTTGCAGGTCGCCTCATTTATCAGCTTGAATTTCCTGTTAGCTTTTGCTGTTTACTGGTCCATCCGCAAAATAGCGCTACATTTTAACATTTAGCAAGAAATAACATTTAGAAATGTCCAGACCTTGAGACCCTCATCCTGTCTAATAGAATGGCTATTTCCATCATCCAGCCAATGTAAGCTTTACTCATTCCTTCACAGGACAGCCCTAGGCAAAAGTGTGCAAGAAATGTGGACTGAGGCTGTGTCTTTGGGAGAAATATGTTTATTGGGAGAGAACCTTGGATGAAATTAAGATTTGCGCTCAGGCTCCTGATCATAAGGACTCGACATGACATTTTTTTTAAACTTTTTTGAAGTGTAACATATAGAGAAGTGTACAAATCACAAGGTTCCACAAACTTCCTAACAGTTTTCAATAGGAAGTGTCTGTAGGGTGTGAGCAAATCATGTTGCAGACCGCACTGCCCTAGAAAAGAAAAACCTCCCAGAGGTGAGGAGTTTCTCCTACTCTCAGGCCACAGCTGAGGCCGCGCCTGCGCGGTGGATCCCGCCGCTGGAAGAGGAGTTAGGAGAGCAGGAAGCCCCTCCCCTTCCCCGGCTTTAGCTTGGCTTTCGTGCTACCCGGCCCGCTCTCGCGAGCCCCGGGCCCGCCGCGCGCTCTCTTTCAGGACTTCTAGATTCGCTTGGCGTTTCCCGCCCCGCCCCGCCCCACGCGCGGGCTCGCGCTCAGGTTTGCGCACGGCCTCCGGCCCGCGGCATCAGGCCCTCGGCTTCCTCGTCCGGCCGGCAGCCCGCTGCTTAAACACCATGGTGGGTATCGTGAAGTTACAAGGGGGCGCCCTCGGGGAGTGGGGGGCAGGTTGGACTGTTGGGGTCGGAGTAGGGGGTCCGGCTACGTCTCTATGCTGGAGTTGGGCCCTGGGGGCACTTAGTTCGTGCGCCTCAAATTCTTTGAAGAGACTGGAGCACGTGGGATTGTTTTTCTCTTATAAGGGGCGGGGGGAAAAAATCCGAGGGAGAGTTAGCAGGGATAATAGGAGAGGGAAAAGCCAGACCTCAAGGAACATTTCCCTGACGGAGACCAGGCTTCGGGAGTTTGACCGGGAATACATTCTGCAGTTCCCTAGGAAGAGTGGGCAGGGGCCCCAGGAGAGGTGGTGGATTGAGAGGCGAGCCCAGAGAGCCCGAGGGGTGCAGGGCAGAGGCTATCTCAAGGTCTTTATGTCAGATGCTTAATGAAGTGTGCGGAATCTTTGGGGCTCCAGCTGTTCATCCCTGCCACCGAGTGAAGTTTTGAGACCTGCCACAGTTGTGGTGGGGCTCCCAATACCAGTATTTGGTAATAGTGGCAGAAGTCCACTCCTTCCGACCATGTCTCTTCCCATATGATAGTTTTCCCTATCTCCCCCAATAGCTCTTCTATTCCTTCTTCAAGTCCCTTGTGGGCAAGGATGTGGTGGTGGAACTCAAGAATGACCTGAGGTAGGTACACGTTCCAATAAGTCTGTAGGAGGTGGATGTGCCCAGGGCCCTGGAACCTCTAACTGAACAAGTATTAGTTGAAGTCTGGGCAGGAAGAGATACAGAAAAAAATAAATGGTGCCTTAAACTGACAGATTAGCTAGGTGTTGTTTCTCGTATTGAAAAACAATACAAAGAACTAAGTATATAAAAAATAAGTACAGAAAGGTCAGAGTGTAGAGGCACCAACATTTTTTACAAAACATAGTTTGTTTTTTTTCCCGATTAAATTATATGCTCCTTTGACTCAAATTCTAGAAATGTAAGAATCAGTTCCACAAGATGTATGTACAGAGAGGTTTGCAGTTTTATTTGCAGTAGTCAAAAAATGGAAAACAAATAGCTATCAGTAAGAAGTAGGTTAAGTTGTACTTCCATGTGATACAGCTGTCACACAGGAATAAGATGTATTGATGTGGAAAGCTGTTGCAGAATAGAACATATATGTGGCTTAATCTCCCTTTTGTTAAAGAAAATGTAAAGGATAAACAGTACCAGTCCCTTCTGTCTGTACTGCTTTTACATCCCCTACCTATTTTATCATTAGCTCCTAATCATCTTTCAGAACTTGGATTACATGTGGTAGCCTTGGAGAGACTTTTCCTGGTCTTTCTAGCCAAATAGATCATTATATAATAAGGTCTATCATGAGGTCTTATTTTCTTCCTAGTGGGTGCTTCTCAAATTGTAATTTCAAAGAAATGTGTTTACGGTTTATGACCTGTCCTTCTGACAGTGCCAGGATCATGTTTAAGCTCACTGTTTTACCAAATGTCTAGCATAGATCTGATATAGAGTAGGGGCTTAATAAATGTGTACTGAAAGAAAAGTATCTAACATTTGAGAACCTTCTATTGACTAGCCACTATTTTGAATATTTTACATTTATTAACTCCCTTGTGACATATACTATTGTTGCTGTTTTACATGTGAGGAAATTGAAGCTTGGATAGGTTAAGAAACTTACTGAAGTCTATGTCACTAGGAAATGACACAATCAGAATTGAAATCCAATTCTGTCTTTTGAAAATTTTTTTATTTATTAATTTTAGAGAGAGAGAAACATCAATTTGTTGTTCTACTTTTTAATGCATTGGTTGACCGGGGAATCAAACCTACATCCTTGGCATATCAGGACAATGCTCTAACCAACTGGGCTACCCAGGCAGGGCTTCTTTCTTTTTCTTTTTTTTAAAGATTGTATTAATTTATTTTTAGAGAGCAAGCAAGGAAGGGAGAAAGAGGGAGAGAAATATTGCTGTGTGAGAGATACATCAATCAGGTGCCTCTCTCATGCCCCCAACTGGGGACCTGGCCTGCAACCAAGGCATGTTCCCTGATTGGGAATCGAACCGGCAACACTTTGGTTCTCAGGCCAGCACTCAGTCCACTGAGTCACACCACCCAGGGCTAATCTTTAACATTCTTATTTTGCTTGGGGGGGGGGGGGAATCCAATCTCTTTATTGTCAGGGTTCCCTCCTGTGCCCCCCACCCCTCCCCAAACCTATAGAAAAACCCCAAGCCTAGGAGTGTCCCGGGGAGAGGAGGCAGAGTGTCGAAAAATTCTGTGCTCTGCCCTCTAGCCTGGGCAGTGACAACAGGGAGAGTACATGGGGAGGGGAGGCCAGTAACTCCACCTGTAGGGGATGTGGCACTGGCTGGGATGCATGGTGGATAAGGTACCTGCTGCCAACTCTCCTTTGGGACCAGCTGGGGCAGCATCCAGGGGTGGGTGCCCAGCTTGAGGACTGGTACAGTGCATGACCTTCTACCAGTGGCCATCACTCCTGTCAGGCTGCTCAGTGCAAGGTCCCATCCTCCGCATCTGTGTCCTGGCTCTGTTCCAGCTCTTCCTCGCTGTGCATCAGCAACCCCTCCTCATCGCCATCATCTTGCATCCTATGCTTCTCCCTGGGGAGTGCCTGCCTCAGAAACTGTTCTCTTGAGGGGGCAGTGGCCGGCTGCCGCCGCCACTGCCGCCTCCATTGCCACTGCTGCTCTTCTTGCCGTATGGGTTTGCCTTCTGCTCCTCAGCAATCTGTTCCAGGCGGCCCAGCAGGGCATCGATGTTGGACTTGATCTGTGTCAGCTCTGTCTTGATGGTCTCAGCTCACTGCTCTTTAACTTGATCTTGGCTGAGCTGGTGGTGATGGCTGTGGAGAGGGCAAAGAGCTTGACAGGGATGGTGGTTTTGACACATCAGACCAAAAAGATAGTGACCCAGAGTCATTTCACTGGGATAGCCCTGGGTACAGGCACTGGTGACAAGCGGCCCCGATAGCCGAAGAGCCTGTCATAGGAGTCGTCCCGGTAGTAATCATAGTCAAAGCTGTAGCCACTGTAAATGGCAGATGCTACTCTCTTTAACCCCTTGGGTCTGTTGGGTTTGGGCTTATCAGCTATGTTGATGTCCAGGGTCTGCCCGGCCAGCACCCGCCCATTCTCTCCCAGCCCAGCTTCCCGGGCATGGCGCTCATTGGCATACTGACCAAAGACATAGAGCCCTTGTGGACATAACAGCCGGCCACACGGCCATACTTGGAGAAGATGTTCTCCACATCTGACTTCTTCACCACAGCTGTGTTGAGGTTTCCATTGAAGACTCAAGAGTTGATGGAGTTGGGGTCATTCTTGTTGGTTACATTGCTTGTCTGGATCTTCAAGGACATGGTGGCCACAGCTCAGTCAGCGATTTCCGCTTTAGGGTTACAGGGTCAGCCACCAGCACCTCTGGGAATAGGTATCACCTGCGCCAAGAGGTCTAGAAGAAGCCGCGCAGCGCAGAAGGCAGCGGTGCTGCCGCACTCGGGGGGCAGAAGGGAGGAAGAGCTAATCTTTAACATTCTTAATGTCTGCATGGTATGTTTATTAACCAAGGACTTGTTTTTGCACACTTAAATGGTTTCCAATTCTTTAGAAAAAAAGTCCTTTAAATGAGATGTGCATTTAAAATAGTGTTATCTATGACCTGATTGTCCTTTAGAAAGTTAGAATTAGTGTACTTCCTCTCCAACAATGACTTCTACATTTCTGTGTGAGATCATTAATGGAAGAAACGTTGACAAGGTAGGGAATGGTGAGGAGAGGGACTTGCCTTTGACATCAGAGATTTCATTCATGGCACTGGCAGTGCATGTGATATTGATGGCATATAGATTAGAGCCCTGTAGAGAGACGCGTGTGGAGCCAAAACCAGTCCTGTCAGATGACTTGTTGTTTGTTTTCTTTTTCTCCCTCCTGAGTCATCGACAAGGGGGGGGGAGTGGAATGTTAGGTTTTAGCACCAGGTCTTAAAGCAAAGACTGTAAGATTCAAAGGTAGTCTATTGGGTTGGAAGAAGAGCTCTATCTCTCAGGCTTGTCAGACCACTTCTGTGCCAAATACATCTTTTTGTTGTTGTTTTCTTTTGTTTTAATCCTCACCCAAGGTCATGTTTGTTTGTTTTTTCACTGCTTTTAGGGAAAGAGGGTTTAGAGAGGGGAAGGGAAGGAGAAAGAAAGGGAGAGAAACATTGATGAGAGAGAGAAACATCGATTGGTTGCCTTTTGTACATGCCCTGATGGGACCGAACCCAAAAACTAGGCATGTGCCCTGACTGGGGATGGAAACCAAGACTCTTCCCTTTGTGGGACCATGCCCAACGGTCTGAGCCACACTGGCCAGGGCCAAATATCTATTCCTAAGGAATTGAATCAAATAATACCACCTTATACAATTCCTGACAGTTACTTCACTGCTGCAGATGGTGGTAAGGTGCTATCAGGCTTTTCAGCAGCCAGGGATATAGTGAAACCATTACTGAAGCAGTAGGTCTAAGGCACTGGATTTCAAAGACAGAATTTTACAGAAATTTGGGCCCAACAGAGAACTGCCAACTTTATTTTTGGCAAGATAAGGACATTTTTAAAAATGCCACTTATTATAATTTCATTTTTAAAAATTAATAACCAAAAAATAGGATGGACAACTAAAGAAGTTACTTTTAGCCTGGGCCAGGTAGTTCAGTTGTTAGAGCATTGTCCCTATACACCAAGGTTATGGGTTTGATCCCTGGTCAGGGCACATATTAGAATCAACCAGTGAATGCATAAATGAGTGGGACATGTAGATAGTTCTCTCTCACTAAAATCAACTTTTAAAAAACTTCATTAAACAGTTATTTTTAGGGGGGAAAAATGAACTTTAGCACACTACATACACATTCAAGACACACTATACTAGCCTGTGTTCCCTCTTTTGTCGTGGACTCATTAAACCTTTGAGCATACATCAGTGTTTGAGAACCACAGTTCAAAGGAACTTAGAATCTGGTGATGACACATCATCACCAGATGTGATGACAGTTAGGAGGAGGGTGGTCAGGTTGGACGGTGACCTGGATTGAGGTGTAAAGTAACAATACCTTGGCTTGTAGAAGTCAAATTAGGAAGAGAATTACAGAAATGGTAGACATCAGTAAACTGGGGATTTATGGGACATGCAGGGTAGAGAAATACAATTCATGGGATTTAAAGTTGAAGCCACTGACAAAAATTAAAGAAGTTAGGAGAGCTCCTCCGTCTTCATAGCTGCAGACCCCACCCACTGTCCCTAAGTTCTTTATTCCCTCTTGCGGGGCCCTGGCCATGGGCAGCCACAGTGGGGTGGTCAGACCTGCTGGCACCCTGACCTCCTGGAGCAGCCACCTCTCACCAAGAGCTCAAGAGGCCTTGGCTTCCACTAGTCCTTACCCTTTCCTCCTGCATTGGATTTGCTGTCATCTGGAAGAATACTTGAAATTTTGTTCTTTGTAAAAGAAAAAATATTTTTTATCTTTTGTTAAAATCACTTGTTAATTTTGTTTGCAAAATTGTAACTTTTTTGCTTCTTCTCAGGAATACAATTTTCAACTGTTGTCTTGCTCTTGCTACAGACTGAGAAGCAGCACCTGTTTGTGAGAGAAGGCCTCCTTCCTGAATTCTAATAAACAAGCGGTGTCTGTTTATTAGTGTCTGTTTCTCTTTCAAAAATAAAAAGAAGAGGAAGAAGTTAGAGAAAAGAAGTGGCAGGGCTTAGGGCACTGATATTATGATAGCATTCCTCATTAACATTTCAGGGTCTCAAGGATTGGAGAAGGGAGAGAACATCCCTTGTCCCTTAATCAAGAGGAATGCTAGCTGCTTTACCTAATTTACATATGGGCACTGGTTCCAAAGGAATAAATGTTTGAAAATAGCTGGTGGTTTGGGGGTCAGACAGATGTGGGCTGAGTCCTTGTTTATTTGCCCTAAACTTGGGCAAGTCATACAACCTCTCTGAGTCCCTGAATGATAGTAACTACTTTGTAAAGTAACTAAAAGATTGTAAAGTGGCTGTAAAAATCACAAATGATGTGCAGAAGAGAAAAATACAAGATGGTAACTCTTAAGAGTGCATTGATATAGAGAAAGTTGTACAGTTTAAAATGACACAGCACTCTGGAAGCACTGTTTTTGACACTCTAAGGTTTAGGAATGTCCCTTTTTGGTTCCACCTATTCTGGCTTCCTCAAGTCCTTGACTTCCCCCAACCATGCTCTTATCTCAGCTCTCATGTCACCTATATGTTGCTTTGATGTAAATTAATTTGGCTCTTCCTTTCCTCTGCCCTTAACAGCATCTGTGGAACCCTCCATTCTGTGGATCAGGTAAGACAGAGCAAGAGCCCAGGATTGGTCTTGGGGAAGGAGTAGGGGAGAGCCTAAAGGGTAGGGTTCTTGTATCCTGTTGCTAGAGCTAATGATGGTGTTCACCTTCTTTTCTTAGTATCTCAACATCAAATTAACTGACATCAGTGTCACAGACCCTGAGAAATACCCTCACATGGTAAGTTGGAGATGGTGGAAAAGAGGAAACACCTCTAAAAGCAGGGGGTCCCTGGGTGGGTAGAGGATATTTTGAAAAGTATTCTCATATTTGCCTACTTTTGTCTAGTTATCAGTGAAGAACTGCTTCATTCGGGGCTCAGTGGTCCGCTATGTGCAGTTGCCAGCAGATGAGGTGGACACACAGTTACTACAGGATGCAGCAAGAAAGGAGGCCCTGCAGCAAAAACAGTGATGTTCCTTCTCTCCTCTCCTCTTCCGCTGGTGATCCTTGACCTGGTGTCCCAGCCCAGAACCTCTCCATGCATACTTGAAATGCTGTGTTTTCAGTTTTATAATAGCGAAGGCCCTTTTCTTTCTTTCTTTTTTTTTAAGGGATGAGTAGATCAGAGGACTAGTTTAGTGGGGAGCAGCTATCCTCAGAAGGGGAAGATAAGTTGTCTGGGGTATGCAAAGTGTACCTTGTTCCCAGTACCTGCCTTTCTTACTCTTTTTCCAGAGGTGGTAAGAGAATCTCCTAGATCTCTCCAGGGCAGCATGTGATTTTGGGGGATGGAAGGAATCTGTCCCGCATCGGGAATAAAATTTTATAATGCAGATTTCTGGTTCTATGTGTTTTGGGAAAGAGACTGGAGGGCAGGAAAGGGCTACTGAATTCATCCATGCCGTTGCCCTTCATTACCCCAGCTAGGAACCCAACCCAACTTCCCAGCATTATCTGCTGCTACTCTCCTGGGTATAAGCCATCTACTACCTCAACTGGGCTACACCGTGTTTCCTGAACACGCCCCTACCTACATGGCCTTTTGCACAGACTACACCTACAATGAGTGCCTGCTGTCCTTTCGTTATGTGACAATGTTAAATGAGACACTTAAGATGTATTTGACGCTGCTGGATTTCTTCCTCAACCCAGCCAAATCATTACACTCGGATATCGCAGATAAAAGCAAGCAAGTGAGAATTGTTATTGGGGGGGTTGAGTGCAAATTGTCTTCATTCGCTCATTCCCATTCCAGATAAGAGCTTTCTGAATTAAGGGGCCTAAGAGGCCATAAAGCGAAATACATTCTTCTCAACGTAGGAGGAAGTGAGGTTCCGTTGGGGCTGCCAGTGGGGCCCTGGCAAAGCGTCAGCCTGGCCCGGCAGCACTTTCTCCGGCTGCTTCCGGTGGGGGCGTGGCTTCCCGCCCCCACGCCGTACCAACGGTCTGCGGCCCGAGGACCCACGTGGGTTGCCCGGGGCAGTGCCTGAAGAGAGCGGGAGCTCAGTCTAGGGTGTCCCCGCCCCGCCACCCCGCGCCATTCTGGGCCCCGCTTGTTCCTCCTCCTGAGCGCAACGGGCGGGGCGCCATCCCACCCCATCTCCCCTCCCCGCCCCACCATATCCTGCAGGGTGGCCCAGCAAACGCAGGCTGGGTAAGGCCACCCTGTCTGCCCCAGGACTTGTGGGCCGGAAACGATCCTGTCACAAAGGGGGCAACACGTGGGTGTCGACAGGCTGGGCAGTGGTCCCAGGGAGCCAGGGTTGCAGGGAGAACCGCCCCGCCGTCCCAGCCACCAGACCTATCCACCTTCAGCCGGCGCCCGGCTCCGTCTACTACCTTCATCCAGTACGTACCTGCGGCCCGAACCTGCGTTCTTCCGGACGCCGAGGGCCTCCTCGGGGCCCGCACTTAAGTCCCCCATTTTCACCGCCACTGCGAGAGCCAGACCCTCGGCTCTTGAGGCCTGATCAGACGCTCCCACTCCTGGGGGCCTCGGGTGCCTGCAGTAGAGGAGGCCCACGAGAGACTCAGATAGGATCCCAAGTCCCTCAGTCTCCCCGTCTCTCTCTCTCTCTCTCTCCTTAGGTCTTTTCCATCTGGTTCGGAGCCCATAATAACCATGTCCATCCTCTATGTTTCCCCTCACCCCGATGCCTTCCCCAGCCTGCGAGTCCTCATAGCTGCGCGCTATGGGGAGGCTGGAGAGGGACCGAGTTGGGGAGGGGCCCACCCCCGCATCTGTCTCCAGCCTCCTCCGGCCAGCAGGACTCCCTTTCCCCCACCCCGTCTGCCTGCCTTGGAGCGGGGGTCCGGTGGGCTCTGGGTGTGGGGGGCCACAGCTGTGGCCCAGCTGCTTTGGCCAGAAGGTCTGGGAGGCCCTGGGGGCAGCCGGGCAGCCGCCCTCGTCCAACAGTGGGTCAGTTACGCGGACACGGAGCTAATACCAGCTGCTTGTGGGGCAACGCTGCCCGCCTTGGGACTCCGCAGCTCTGTCCATGATCCTGAGGTGAGTAGAGAGAAGATAGGGAGGGGAAGATTTAGAAGAAGGAAGCAGGAATTAGAATGGATAATGGAACAGAAAGATAGCATGTCAGATATGGAAAAAGATTAATCAAATCCCAGATTGCCACCTGGTAACCTCACTGAACCTTAGTCTTCCTTTATTTATGAAAACTTGAGTTTTCATGTTGAGAACATGCTGAGGTTAAAAGAAGCGTGCAAAGCCCATAGAGTACTGCCAGGTACTTTAAAAGTGTCTGAATAAAACTTTAGTGAGTCTGAAACTAATGATAGAAGTTATTGTGAGTTGTAGGGAAAGACTGGGTGAAGGAGAGATGAGGAGAGGCAGGTAGGGCCAGGATTGATGATGTTGTTGGGTGATAAGGAAGGAGAAATGAAATGAGGGGAAGGGAGAGGGGAGATAATAACCACACCAGATTGTAACTAAGTCCTTCCAGAGTGGGCCTGTACCTCCTGGCATTTATCACACATCATATATTGAAAACATGGCAGATACTTAGTATTTCTTGAATGAATTAATTAATGAGTTAATGAATTAAATGAATATGTGACTTAGACCCTGGCTGGCTCCCTCATAGCTTGATTGCACTTATCTGAAGTAAAGGCCCTCTCTCTGAAGTTCCCTGTCCCCTTAGCCTGATTTTTTGTCATACAACTTTAGGAGAAAAAAATGGGGTAATCTATTATATATTTACTCATTTATTATTTCCCCTGTTAAAAAGTAAACTCCACGAGGTCAGGGACCCCATCTGTTCAGATACTCTCTTCATTGCTTAAAGAAGTACCTGACATGTATTAATTAGGTGCTTAATAAATGTTGTTGAAGCAATTGTTATATTGCTTCATGTCATCTTTAATTTCCTGTACTTAATATATTTTATCTGACGCATAGTAAGTGTTCATCAGGGCTTCTTTTTGTTATGACCATTTCAGAGAAGATAAAACTGGCCTCAGAGGTCATGATCTGTGGGAGTGGAAGGAGGCCAAGCCCTGTTTCATTCCTTCCCCTTCCCGCTAGGCTGCACTGGGGGCCCTGGGAAGGGCCCTGAGCCCCTTGGAAGAGTGGCTTCGGCAGCACACCTACCTGGCTGGGGAGGCTCCCACTTTGGCTGACCTGGCAGCTGTCACAGCCTTGCTTCTGCCTTTCCGTTATGTGAGTCACTAGGGCCTTGGGAAGAATGAGGGCAACTCCTCTCAGACCTCGCTGTATGGTTAGTAAGGATAATTGATTTCTTCCCGACCCCAGGTGCTGGACCCCTCTGCTCGCCAAATCTGGGGTAATGTCACTCGCTGGTTTATCACCTGTGTCCAGCAGTCAGAATTCCGGGCAGTGCTGGGAGAGGTGGTTCTGTATTCAGGGACCAGGCCTCTCTCCCAGCAGCCAGGTGAGGAAGGGTAAGGGTAGGAGAGTAAGGGTTCCTTGGGGTCTTCCATGCAGCTCACTTTCTTTTTTCTCTTAGAATGACAGAATCACTGGGGCAGGGGTCTGCGGGAGGGTAAGGTGGGAAGTTGACATGGGGAAGCCCTTGGGCAGCTGAAATAGCTCATGTGAGACACAGCAGCACCTTCACAGAGGGCCCCTAGGGGGCTAAGTCTGCATTTCTGTGTCTCTTACCAGGCCCTGAGGTCACTGCACCTCCAAAGACACCTGCTCAACTCAAGAAAGAGGCAAAGAAACGGGAGAAGCTAGAGAAATTTCAACAGAAGCAGAAGATCCAACAGCAGCAACCACCCCCAGGGGAGGTGAGAGGCTAGGGGTGGAGCTGGATCGGATGTCAGTGTCACTGTGGTAGGGACTGATATCTGGGCCTATATCCTTCCCTCCCAAGCAGAAGAAACCAAAGCCAGAGAAGAGGGAGAAACGGGATCCTGGGGTCATTACCTATGACCTCCCAACCCGACCTGGGGAAAAGAAAGGTACTAGGAGGGGGAAGCGGCCCCTACCCTTCACCTCTACCCTCCTCAGCTGCTGCTGCTTCTGTTTTACCCCTTTCCTGTTTTATCCTTGTTCCTACCACTCTACTTGTTGAAGGTTTGCAGAGACCCAGGCCCCTCTGTGCTGGGCCATCATCCCCATTTCAGCTATTCCCAGCCTCAGTCAGTGCTGACCCCTGCCTCCCTCTCCCCCAGATGTCAGTGGCACCATGCCCGACTCCTACAGCCCTCAGTACGTGGAGGCAGCCTGGTACCCTTGGTGGGAGCAACAGGGCTTCTTCAAGCCAGAGTATGGAGTGAGTGTTACTGTGCCCTAGGCCTGGAGGGGAAGGAGGCTGGGAAAGGTGACAGAATGCCTTTAGCATGTCCCCTTCCTTTCTTCCCCGTAGCGTTCCAGTGTATCAGCACCAAATCCACGGGGCATCTTCATGATGTGCATCCCACCCCCAAATGTTACAGGCTCCCTACATCTGGGCCACGCCCTCACCAACGCGATCCAGGACTCCCTGACCCGATGGTGAGCTACTGTCCTCTCCCAGCTGGTTCCCTCTGCTTGCTTCTCTTTGGGAGCCCTCCAGCTTTTCTCCTTCCACATTGGTCCTCAGTGCTGCCCCCTGGTGGTAGTCCACTTCTCTCCATCATACCCCTCTGATCAGTTAGCATCCTCCCCTAGTACTTGCTTCCCCCAATCAACCCACTCCACTGTCAGTATTTTGATTAGTTAACAGATACAAAGTCTAATATTCTAGGTGACAAATTCCTTAAGAAAGTATTTTTTTAAATTTATTTTCAGAAAGAGGGGAAGAGGGGGAGGGAGAGAGGGAAAGGGAGGGAGAAAGAGGGAAAGAAATATCAATGTGTAATTGGTTGCCTCTTACACCTTCCTAATTGGGGACCTGCCCTGCAACCCAGGAATGTTCCCTGACAAGGACTTGAACTGGCAACCTTTCAGTTTGCAGCCCAGCACTCAATCCACTGAGCCACACCAGCCAGAGCTGAAAAAGTATCTTTTATCTTTGGAAAACAGGGTTATTTATTGTATTTTAAGTTTTGAGTTTTTCTAGTATCGTACTTACTAAATTAATTTAATCAAAAAATATTTCAGGACATCACTATGTGCCAGCACTGCTCTGGACACTGGAGGTATAATGTTAGACTTAGTATTTTGCAAGGAATTGAAAGCTGGAAAAACAGTTTTATTAATTACATATAACATGTAATGGCCAAGTTATTTACATGAAAATAGAATTAACACTTTTTTTTTTCTTTTAAGACTTTATTTATTTTTAGAAGGGGAAGGGAGGGAGAAAGGGGGAAAGAAACATCAGTGTGCAGTTGCCTCTCTAGCACCCCCCTACTGGGGACCTGACCCACAACCCAGGCATGTGCCCTGACAAGAATTGAACCGGCAACCTTTTGGTTCTCAGGCCCGTGCTCGATCCACTGAGCCACACCAGCCAGGACTATATCATTATTTTAGAATCAAAAATAACATGTAAACTACAGCTTCAAATATCTCCACCAATAAGACATTATAAAAATGAAATAAAAATTTGTTGAATATGGTTTTTTTTCTTTTTCTTCCTCCAACAGAGAATAGAGTGCATTTCTACAAATATCCCTGACACTGATTTATTTTTTGCTAATTTTTTATGATCCCCGAAAAGATACTTCTAGTGGAGAAATATTTTTATCTTATGCTTAACTTCTTTAATGGTAATATATAACATTTTGAAGTTCAGAAAAATGTTCTTATCCTTTATGGCATGTAAGCAACATTGCTATCGGTTATCTGCAAGAACATGGAGTTGCTGCAATCTCTGTCCGAAAGGAGATCTGAACATACTGGAGATAAACAGACTATAAAGAATGAATATAACACAGTTTGATGAGTCATTGAAAACAATCTGTGAATTAAGTGTTATTGTGTTTCTGTCATGATTTCCTCTTCCCACTTTAATGTTCCTAGTACTACAGGGGAAGGAAGGTACCCCTCAGCATAGGACTTTGGAGGAAACTGCACGTACCTACCTCTATCCTTGCAGGGAATGGAGATGATTTTATTCTCTAATTCAGCTCCTGATCAATTCCCTAAAACATTGCTAGCTTCCAGTCATTTTCCCCAAAATGGTCTTTCACTTTTTAATTTCACTGAGAGGTATTAATGGTCTGAGGTTTTATGTTTTGTTGTGTTTATGTTACATGTGTCTGGATAAAGATGTCTTTTCTAACTCAAAGTTATACACATGTCCACTTATGTTATTATCTTCATTTTTTTGATTTTTGGAAATTAAGTCATTTTTCTGAGGCTTTCTCATAGTTTTGTTTTTTTTATATTGAATGGTTTAATCTGACTAGAATTTATTTTTGTGAATATCGGGAAATAGGGAGATTTTTTTCCAACTAAGGAGCTAGTTGTCCCAAACAAATTTTTGAATTGTTTTTCCTTCCCATATTGATATGGAGTGTCACCCCTGACAAATAATAAATTGGCTCGGATCTGTTTCCAGTCACTGTTTTGTTTCCTTTGGTCTGTAGCTTTGTTCCTATGTTGTAACTTACTGTTTCAATAATCATAACTTTCTCATAGGTTTTGCTAGCTAGTTGGGAAGGAACCTCCTCTTTTTCGCCAGATTGCTTCGGCTATCCTTGCAGATATCCTCCCCCAGACTGTAGTTTTAGAATCAGGGTTCTTCTTCACTGCCATTTTCCTTCCTGAGTCCACTAACTTCCTGCCCAGAAGCCCCTTCTTCCTTAGGTGCCAGGCTTTACCAGCACATTCACCTTGGTCCTCCGTGCTCCTCCCACAGGCATCGCATGCGTGGGGAGACCACCCTGTGGAACCCTGGCTGTGACCACGCCGGCATTGCCACCCAGGTAGTGGTGGAAAAGAAGCTCTGGCGAGAGCAGGGACTGAACCGGCACCAGCTGGGCCGTGAGGCCTTTCTACGGGAGGTCTGGAAATGGAAGGAGGAGTGAGTGTGCAGCAGTCCTGCCTCCCTGTGCCCTGTCCACATAAGACCTCTATCATCTGTGACCCTGGCTGCAGGGTCACATCCTCTCAGAGTCTGAGGGTCAATGGCTTCAGGGCCCAGGTCAATTTCAGAAGATGAGTGATCCTCACACTGTGCCAGTGGGCACCCGATGTATCCCTGCAACCTGACCTTAATGCTGATCCACCTGCCTGTTTACTTCCAGGAAGGGGGACCGGATTTACCACCAGCTGCGGAAGCTTGGCAGCTCCTTGGATTGGGACCGAGCCTGTTTCACCATGGACCCTGTGAGTAGGAGGGGTCTCAGGGCTCAGACAGAATGGGGATGCTTTCTAGTGTGGGGCACCCATAGACAAGAGAGCACATGCAGTGCCCTCCCCCAGGAGTGAGCCCACTCAGAAAATCGCTAAGGTCTCAGCTGCAAACATCATTTCTCACCCCATGTCATGACCCTGTGTGTTCCCTATTACCCACTCTGGGAGCCCACATTTCTCCAGGTGGCACATAATAGGGCCTTGCCTTCCCATGGAGCCCGAACTTCCTGGATTCTCTGCACTGGCACCTGTCCCCAGCTGAGTGGCTTCCCTGCCATCTCCAGTATCACAGGACTTGTTGCCTGGCCTTGTATTCCCATAGTCTCCTCTCCCCTCAGGGAAAGCACTTCTCCCTACCGGCCCTCAAAGAGGTCTGGGTGCTGGGCAGTGGGACTCGGGACAGGCCAGACTCACTTGACTCTGCTGCCTTGGAAAGTGTCTGGGCCCCTGGGCCCCTAGGCTCATCCCCGACTCCCCTACTCCACCCTAGAAGCTGTCTTCAGCTGTGACAGAGGCCTTTGTCCGGCTCCATGAGGAAGGAGTCATCTACCGCAGTACCCGCCTTGTCAACTGGTCCTGCACCCTCAACTCTGCCATCTCTGACATCGAGGTGTGCCCTTGCCCCAGGCTCTCTCCAGCTCTACCCCATAGTCCCAGGCCCTGGGCCACTTTTCCTAACACTCATTTCACAGGTGGATAAGAAGGAGCTGACAGGTCGCACCCTGCTCTCTGTGCCTGGCTACAAGGAAAAGGTGGAGTTTGGGGTCCTCATCTCCTTTGCTTACAAGGTCCAAGGCTCAGGTAGGAGACAGGGGCACCAGGATCCTAGGCTGGGTGGGGTAGGAGGCAGAAAGGGGCCAGCACTGAGATCATAAGGTCGCCTGTTACTTCAGAGACCAATGAGGAGGTGGTGGTGGCAACAACTCGTATCGAGACAATGCTGGGAGATGTGGCTGTAGCTGTGCACCCCAAAGATCCTAGATACCAGGTATGGTGAGGGTGCTACTGCAGTTGGGGAAAGTATGCCAGCTGAAAAGGGGTTCCTAGCTGAGGAAAGGAAATTGGATTATAAAGTCATCTTGGAGTTCCTTTTTAGCCCGAAAGTGAGAATTTGGGTATTGGGATAGTCGGCCCTGGGTAGGAGGGAGTTGGGCCCAGCCCTTTGTGCATTTTTGAGGTCTCCCTCTATTCCCAGCACCTGAAGGGAAAGAGTGTGATCCATCCATTCGTGTCTCGGAGCCTCCCTATCCTATTTGATGATTTTGTGGACATGGAGTTTGGCACAGGTGAGCAAGGGACTGTCCTGTGGGGAGAGGAAGGAGCCCACGAGGCACATCCCTCCATTCCTCTTCCCTCTCAAGGGAAAGAGAGTAAGCTTCATGTAAACAAGCCGGGCTTGGGCTGGTTCTCAGGGGACCGTCTTGGGGAAGCGGGGAATAGGTGGTTAGGGAACCACACCTTCAGCCAAAGGGGGTGTATGTGGGAAGGGACTCCAATGAGTCCCTCATGGCCCTGGCACCCCCACATGTACCCCAGGTGCAGTGAAGATCACCCCTGCACATGACCAGAATGACTATGAGGTTGGACAGAGGCACGGGCTGGAGGCCATCAGTATCATGGACTCCCGAGGGGCCCTCATCGGCGTACCCCCGCCTTTCCTGGTGAGACTGCCTGGGTGTCAGGGCCAGGTCTGGAGACAGAGGGGTACCTAGGCACGGCCACAATGAGGCCTGTCTCCCACCCAGGGCCTGCCCAGGTTTGAGGCCAGGAAGGCAGTGCTGGCAGCGCTGAAGGAACGGGGACTATTCCGTGGCATTGAGGACAACCCTATGGTGGTACCGCTTTGCAAGTGAGTGTGGGGGCCAGAGAAGGAGGGCACTCCTCAGGGTACTCCCCATCCAACCTCCCCACCCGTGTGTACTTGCAGTCGGTCCAAAGACGTGGTGGAGCCTCTGCTGCGACCACAGTGGTACGTGCGCTGTGGGGAGATGGCTCAGGCGGCCAGTGCTGCCGTGACTCGGGGCGACCTCCGAATCCTGCCTGAGGCCCATCAGCGGACTTGGCACGCCTGGATGGATAACATCCGGTGCGTTGGGCTCGATGTAGGGAGAGTGACTAGGTGAGGGACTGAGCCGGGCACAGGACAGGGGACCCCCTTCCCCCTGACCCCTCCTTTACCACCACTGGCAGGGACTGGTGCATCTCCCGGCAGCTGTGGTGGGGCCATCGCATCCCAGCCTACTTTGTCACAGTCAATGACCCAGCCGTACCCCCTGGGGAGGTGAGAACCAGGCGAGAGTGGAATGTCATACATCTGAGGGACTTGTGGTTTGTTGGGTCTTTGGTGGGCGTGGGGTGGGGCAAGGCAGGGGTGCCCCCTGCCCTGGGTACTCACTTCACCTGTGACAGGACCCTGATGGGCGGTACTGGGTGAGTGGGCGCAGCAAGGCCGAAGCCTGTGAGAAGGCAGCCAAGGAGTTTGGAGTGTCCCCTGACAAGATCAGTCTCCAGCAAGGCAAGGCAGGGCTGGGGGTTACCTAGAGGGTGCGGGGAGAGCTGGGCTTCTGATCCTCACCTCTGCCCCCTCTGACCTCTGACCTTTGGCTTCCTTCAGATGAGGATGTGTTGGATACCTGGTTCTCCTCTGGCCTCTTCCCCTTTTCCATCCTGGGCTGGCCCAACCAGGTATGTTTTTGGGCTCAGGTTAGGTGGGGCTCTTGGAGGTGAGTGCCTGGCTCCCCATAACATCCTGCTCTGCCCCCAGTCAGAAGATCTGAGTGTATTCTACCCTGGCACACTGTTGGAGACGGGCCACGATATCCTCTTCTTCTGGGTGGCCAGGATGGTCATGCTGGGCCTGAAGCTCACCGGCAGGCTACCCTTCAGAGAGGTGTGAACCCTGCTGAGACCCCTCCCACAGTCCCTACCCTCAGCCACCCTCTGGTGCCATAGCTCAGGCTGAGCATGGATGGGGCACAGCACAGGACTCATGGACAGCGATGGGTGAGCTTGTCGGGACTGAAAATGAACCTGCAATTTGCTCAGTGATTTCTGTGCCTGGGCTTCCTAGAGGAGGCAGCGCCTCTCAGTCCATGACGCTGCTGAATGCACTGGCAGGTACACTGAGGGACTTGAGGTTCGGAATGGGACAGAGCAGATGCAGGACCCTGGCGGGGCAATGGGGTCTGACAGGGAGGCGTAGCCTCACAGGCTCCTGCCCCGCCTCAGGTCTACCTCCATGCCATCGTGCGAGATGCTCACGGCCGTAAGATGAGCAAGTCTCTGGGCAATGTCATCGACCCCCTGGATGTCATCCATGGAGTCTCCTTGCAGGTATGGCTGGGGGCTGGGCCAGGCCAGGGAGGGCTTCGGAGCTGTAACCATGGCCTCCTGACCCCGCCCACCTCACCTTCAGGGCCTCCATGACCAGTTACTGAAGAGCAACCTGGATCCCAGTGAGGTGGAGAGGGCTAAAGAAGGGCAGGTATGAAGGGTGGCCAGAGCTGGGGAGTGGGCAGAGGGAAGGTGGGCCTGGCTCAGGACTCCGCTCTGACTCCTCTCGCAGAAGGCAGACTTCCCAGCGGGAATTCCTGAGTGTGGCACCGATGCCCTTCGGTTCGGACTATGCGCCTACACGTCCCAGGGTAGGGGCCCCAAATGTCTTAGCCACATCCTTCCTCCTCCCCTGAGGCCACCCCTCCCCTCTGCCTTGGGCGAGGGTTGGAAGGGTGGTGCTGAGGACACACACTTCACCGCACCCAGGTCGCGACATCAACCTGGATGTGAACCGGATACTGGGGTACCGCCACTTCTGCAACAAGCTCTGGAATGCCACCAAGTTTGCCCTTCGTGGCCTTGGCAAGGGCTTCGTGCCCTCAGCCACCTCTGAGGTGAGGACCTGGTAGGCACGAGGTGACCGGCACCCACACAGGCTGTACCCCCGCCACTCTGCCATCAAGTGCGGCCCATGTGTCAGGGTTGCAACCCCTGCCCGCCGTGTGCCTCCATGGAGTGGGGTGCAGGGAGGCAGAGGCTACACAGAAAGCACGTCAGCCTCCTGGGATGCAAATTTGCCCAAGGTTCCTGCCTCGGGGGGGGTTCTGGCTCCCTCCCCTGGGTACCTCTGCCCTCCACATACGGTGGCCCTTGGCTGATCTGCTCCTCCCCTAAGCCTGGAGGCCACGAGAGCCTGGTGGACCGCTGGATCCTCAGTCGGCTGACTGAGGCGGTGAAGCTCAGCAACCAAGGTTTCCAGGCCTACGACTTCCCAGCTGTCACAACTGCCCAGTACAGCTTCTGGCTCTATGAGCTCTGTGATGTCTACCTGGTGAGGAGGGGCCAAGTGGGGTGGGGGCAGCAGAGCTCCGGGCCTCCCTTTTCCAGTGGTTGGCCATGAGACCTGAGCCAGCACATCCCTCTACTAGTTACAGGCATAGCAAGGGCTGGAGGCTAGAGCTTTTCTAGCCCTGAACCCTGTCCCTCCCCATCCCCTAGGAGTGCCTGAAGCCTGTGCTGAGTGGGGTGGACCAGGTGGCTGCAGAGTGTGCCCGCCAGACCCTCTACACCTGCCTGGATGTTGGCCTGAGACTGCTCTCACCATTCATGCCCTTTGTGACAGAGGAGCTGTTCCAGAGGCTGCCCCGGCGGACACCACAGGCACCCCCTAGCCTCTGTGTTACCCCTTACCCAGAACCCTCAGAGGTACGGGGTTTGGCCTGGACAGGGCTACAGCCTGCGCCCCCCCGCCCCCAGCCTTTCTCACCCATTCCTCCACCCCACAGTGCTCTTGGAAAGACCTCGAGGCTGAAGCCGCCATCGAATTGACCCTGAGCATCACTCGAGCTGTGCGCTCCCTCCGTGCCGACTACAACCTCATCCGGATCCGACCTGACTGTGAGCCTCAGGGCCGCATGTCTATCCTGTCTCCCTTTCCCTGTGCCCACTCTCTAGGACAGCTACCTCACCTTCCTTCCCCCCACCGGCAGGTTTCCTGGAAGTGGCTGATGAGGCTACAGGCGCCCTGGCATCAGCCGTGTCGGGCTATGTGCAGGCGCTAGCAGGCGCAGGTGTTGTGGCTATCCTGGCGCTAGGGGCTCCTGCACCCCAGGGTTGTGCTGTGGCCCTGGCCTCTGACCGCTGCTCCGTCCACCTGCAACTGCAGGGTCTGGTAGACCCAGCCCGGGAGCTGGGCAAGCTGCAGGCCAAGCGTGGTGAGGCGCAGAGGCAGGCCCAGCGTCTGCGGGAGCGCCGTGCCACTGTGGGCTACCCGGTCAAGGTGCCCATCAGAGTCCAGGAGGCAGACAAAGCCAAGGTGTGTGGTATGGGTGGGCGTTCCCTTCCCCATTTCCAACATCTCAAACCCAATCCTGTGGCTGCACTCTGCTCAGCCCTGAGCAGTCCATGGGGGAGCTTGGAACCCGGGCCCCTTAAGCAGGTGGGGAGCAGGTGGGCGGGTGACACAGCAAGGTGAAGATGGAGGCAAACCTAGAGATACCCTGCCTCCTGGCCGGACATCTTGTGGCCCACCCAACATAGCATCCCACATGCCTGGGGCTGGGCTCAGAGCACAGAGACAGGGAGCCCTCCAGGCAGGAGAACTGGGTAAACTACACCAAGGATGACGAAAAGGCTGTGGGGGTGCAGAGGCACCACTCACTGGGTTCTCCTAGTAGCCCTCTCTGGGCAGGCAGAATTACTCTGGCCATTTTACAGATGAAGGCTAAATGCCTGTCTAGGAACCTGTGTTCCTAATCTCTGTTGTGCTCTTCAGGTAGGGGCTGGGGCTGGCCTGTTGGAGAGTAGGCACCTGGGCTCTGAGGCTCCTTTTTCCCTGTGGACTGACCACTCTGGGAAAAGGCAGCACCCAAAAGTCCAGTGATGGTAGAAGAGAAGGGTGGTGCTGGGGAGGAGACTGCTGAGAATTTGGGGGACTGGTCCAGCCAAGCACATAGTCCCCTAACAACTACTACTTGTCTGTGACCCTCCCGTCTTTCCAAGTCTGTCCCCTCTGCCTTCATTGGCATTTGGGGCTCTTTCCTCTTTGGCCGGGGTCATCACTACCCATCACCCGTTGTTCCACCCCCAGCTCCAACAGACAGAAGCAGAGCTTAGGAAGATGGATGAGGCCATCGCCCTATTTCAGAAGATGCTGTGATACACCAACTCCAACCCTTATAACCCCCCAGTGGACCACCAGGGGGATGGCAGCAATAAATATTTTGCCACAAAACCATCTCTTGTCTTTATGTGTGATAGAGCCAGGAAAGGGGTGCTGAGGGGCTGGGTTTCTAAATCCTCAGAGGCTGCAGGCTGGGAAAGGCACCAGGTCCTGGTGGGCAGAGGTTCATTGGCCTGAGTCTGGCCCTGGCACTAAGCCAGGCCTGAGTCATGCTGCTCTGCCTACTCCCTTCTTCCTCCTGGCTGTCAGTCACTTCCCAGCTAGTGCCAAGGAAGGCCTGCCCCGGTGCCTGCTGCTGCTCTGGCTTTGGGGCCAGCATGAATACAGGGGTGAAGGATGCTGCAGTCCTGTCCACCCTGCTGGGCCTCCTTCCTCCCCTCCTTGAGTCCCACTTAGGTTAATTACAACCTTAACAAGTGTCTGGTGACACCACACCAGGCAGCCCTACCTAGCCAGCAGGAAGGGGAGCTGGCGTGAGGGCAGGTACTGGGGGAGGAACCTGGGGCCCCTGCTGCATCTGTAAGTCCCAGCTGGCCTGATAAGGTCCTCAGTTGTCTGGGCAAATGGGGAGAGGGCAGGAAGCTCATCTGGAGCAGCTAAGGTGTTTGTGACAAAGCAGAAGGGGCGCAAGCAGGTGCCCATGGACACAGAGACAGGCCTCCCCTGGAATTGCTGCTCCTTCCTCCTCCCTCGAGAGTCTTTCATCCTTTGGGTCCAGGTCTCTGCTATGCTCCCCACCAACGTGCCTCAATTCCACCTGGGCCCCTCAGTGCTGCTGCTACTGCTGCAGCTGGTGCCTCCGACGTCTACCTTCTTTCCCAAAATCTGGAGCCTCCGGGCTGCCGCTGCCTCCATCACCCACCAGGACCTGACCAAGGAGGTGGCTCTCAATGTCTCTCTGCAGCTCTTCCTGGAGCAGCTGTCCCCAGGCTGGCCCCCACTTCATCTTGAGGACTTCCTGGTGAGTATCCCTGGGTCCTGTCACATCGCAGTCAAGACCTCTTGAGGGTCCTGCTTGCCAAAAGAAGGGACCCTCTTTCCCCCCGCATCCTCATCTCCGCCCCCCTGCAGCAGCAACACTCAGGAACCCTGGTCCTGAAATCAGGAGTCTCTCCCCCTTAGAAGGTCCAGAATTGCCCCTTGTAGGGCGACCCCCGCCCCAATTCCTTCCACACCCAGATTTGAGCGCCAGTAGCTGAGGAAATGTGGGCAATGGCCCAATCCAAGAGGCTTCCCTGGAGACCCTGTTCCCTACCCCTCTCCCAGGGCCACACCCTCCTCACCAATGACCTCTTTGTCTCCTACTTTGGACCTGGGTCTCCTTCCCAGCAATTCCAAGCAGCCTTAGGTGAGGTGTCTCCTGCCAGTGCAGCCCAGGATTTCCTGCTGACTTTCAGGAATGACCTTGACCTGAACTTCAAGGCAGCTGGGTCAGGAGCAGACACGCCTGGTTGGGGCTCTGCAGGAGACCCTGGTGGCGGCTAGAGCTCTTGACCACACCCCAGCCTTCCATGCCTTGAGGCAGCCCTCCATGCCTTGCAGGTAAGAAAATGGATGGGGTAGCGGTCAGGGAGGCCTTCGCTGCCTTGTCTCCCAACTGGTGCCTTCTTGACCATGCCTCTCAAAGGGACTGGAGTGCTGCTTGCCAAGCCCCTGAGGCCACTCCATAGTTTCTGCCTCCACAATGGCAGCACTTCCTGTGGGAACAGCCAGAAGTCATTGCACTGGAGAGCACTGAGGGTCACAGGCAGGGGCTGAGGTCAGAGGTAGGCCTCGGTGGCCACTGAAAGACCTTTGGTTGGGCTGAGTGAGATGGAAAGAAACTTGGGGAGACCCCTCTACCCCGCCTCAGTAAAGCTCTGGTCTGGGCAACAGGGCAGGGTGGGATGGGCAGAGTAGTGGAGCAACTTTGGGGTATCTGACAGGAGTCGCAGGGGAGGGAGGAGGGTTTCTGAGTGGGAAAGGAAAGAGAGGTGAGTTATGGGTGGAGGCTGTGAGACTAGACAAATGCCTTGTTCTCCTCCCCTCCTTTTCCTGGTACTAGGACTTCTGTAGTCACAGCAGCTGGGTGGAACTCGGGCAGCAGCTGTCACATCCTCACCTCCTCTGGCCAAGGCAAGAGCTGGTAAGCCTGGCACAAGGTACAGCCATGAGGCCATGACCCCAGTAGTTAGGGAGGAGCCCATAGAGCCACTTCTTTTCAGTCCACCCAGCCACCGTGTCACATCCCAAGGTCACACGGGATGTAAACATCACTTCATCTCTGGAGTGACCTGTGAGGCCTCCCAGTTTAACCAAAGGCCAGGTGAGTTAGGTGGCTTCCCTGAAGTCACACAGGGAAGGACAGAGCCAGGACCAGGTCTGCAGTCCTCGTTGAGTTCTCTTTCATGTGACTTCCTCTCTACCACTGGATCCCACAGGGCTTTCTCTCACAGTCCCCTCAACCACCAAACTGAACAATGACCTGTAAGCTGCCTCCTGTCCACTGTAAGTGCACTTTCCGTTCGCGGCTCACAGAGGGCATGATCCCTGTAGAACTGGCCCCCACACTGCTAGATTTTCTAGCACAGTCCCAGACTCAAATATTCGGTCTCACCACCAGTGCCTGAACTCCAGGTTTTAGTTCAGAAAGCCTAGAAGTGTATCTATGAAAGCTCTCTATGGGCTTTCACCCTATTCCCGCTGGGAGGAAAAGTGGAAGAAGTTTGGGTGGACAGGGATAAGGGTTGGGGCAACAGAATCCTGGGTTCTAGACCTCTGCCCTCTCTTCCCAGTGGGAGATCTTACCTGCTCTGATTGTAAGGAACTGAGCTGCCCTGGGATTTTGCTGGGTTTTACACTCCTCGCCTCTGGCTACTTTGGAACTCATCCCTCCAAACTTTCAGGTACCAGACAGGAAAGCCCTCAGAAGGAAGGGGAAGTCACTTCCTTTCCCCTGTCCCTGTCCCCAGGGATCTCAGTCCCCTAGGTCCTTGCCTCACTTCCTATAAGAAGGAGAGAATGTTGGGAACAAGGTGGGTGGATAAAGGCCCACTTGGGTGGCTATGGCTTGTTGGGGGAGGGGCGGGGAGCAGCTTCTTACTCAACCAATAAGACTTCTCCATTGCCCAAGGGCAGCTTTTGGGGACTGTCTAGAGGGCTCAGGGGATCCATCACGTGCTGTGTAAGGGATCCCTCCATATTGGCCCTCCACAAAATGTCATCATTTCTTGCTGATCCTTTGCAGAGCAGTGAGAGGGTCGGCCCAGGTCAGGAAGGTTCCCATTTCCTTAGGAGGCAGTGAGGTTTTTACTTCCACCCTCCAGATCCCTTTCCCAACCCAGGAAAATGTAGCCATCAGGGCTGTTTTGACCAGAGCAGTTCCCAGCTACCACAGAGAGGCATCAACAAGGACAGCACAGCCCCAGGCTTCTCCCCGCACCACATGCTCTACCTCCAGACTGCAAAACTGGCCCTTCTGGCCTCCATCCAGGCCTTTAGCTTCCTGTGAAGATGCCTGGGACACAGGACTTTCTCCAGGTGGTAGTCTCCTGGACATGGGCTCCCTAGGTGCTCCTCAGGGAGCTGAGAAACCAGGGGCTGGGGACAAGTGTGCAGACCCTTCACTGTGGCTTTCTCCGGGCTGCTGGACATCACCCCAGCCTCCCGACTCAGTTTCGTCCTGGACGCCACAGGCAGTATGGGCAAGATCAATGCTGACAAAGTCCAGGCTCACCGCGGTGTAGAACAGTGACAGGGCAGCCCCATGGAATCCGTCTACTATGTCCTGGTGCCATTCCATGACCCAGGTAGCTGTGGTCTGGCTGGGATAGTGGAGGGAAGGGAAGTCCAGGGCAAGGGATTAATGCCACTGGTGGGCAGTGGGCCTGAGCAAGCCCTTCCCGGGAACCTGTGCATATACAGGAAACAACTGGCCACTTCTTCCACTGCTTCCAAAAAGGCAGCAGTTCACATATGAATTCCATCACAATCCATGCTTAGGTAGGTGCCCTCTGCTTTCTTAGGCTTTAGTGCCAATAAGTACTTTACGATTCTCTCTACTTATAGATACAGGCTGGGATGAAAATGGGGTTTTGGTGGGTCCAGACCTCTGAGAAGTGCCTGAGACAGATACTTATGTGATATTCCTTTCCCTGTTGAATTGGAAGTCAGGCAATCTAGCCTGGGTTGACCAGTCTTCCTGTGTGTCCTTAGTCTGGTCATATAACTTCTCTTTGCCTCAATTTCATCATCCATAAAATGGGTCACTACTAGCTTTATCCTGTCTATCTCCCAGGGCTGAAATGATCATCAGTCAAAATGCCTGTAGGACTGAGAATTCCCTAAGGGCAGGAGGATTTAAGACCAACTTGTCTGCATAAATCCTGGAGTAGCTGGCATATGAAAGGGGCTTACCATCTATTTGATGAAGGTATGAATAAGTGAATAACGGAGAATTCAGCCACTTATGTGTCAAAGCACTATTCTAAGATTGACAAAACCAACTCCTTTAGTCCTCCCAATTACCCTCTGAGGTAAGTACTATTATTTTTCTGGCTTTTCTGGTAAGGAAACTGGCGCTCCAGTTGTTTTTTATACTTACATTCCCAAAAGGACCCAGGAACTACTGCAATTTTGTTAAAGAAATGAGGTCCACTTTCCCACCACAAGTACCTAGCCCCTTACCTCCCTATGTAAATATAAGGGAATATTGTTATTTCAAGACTTGTCCGGCCCTTCGAGTACTGCAGACCTCTTGACTGGGGAAGGATGAGGGGAGCCTTCTCCTCACTCATGTCAACGTCCTTTCCTCTTCCCCAGGGTCTGGCCCTGTCTTTACAGCAAGTGACCCTGATAGCTTCTGGCAACAACTCAATGAGATCCATGCCTTGGGGGGTAGAGATGAGCATGAGATGAGCCTGTCAGCCCTGGAGGTTTGCCCTGCCCCCTTCTCTTCTCCAACCCCCTTTCCAGGCCCTACCACCAAGGGGAGCTAGATCCTTCCTGGGGAGCCCCACTCCATCCCACCTTCAGAGCCTGGTCCCACTAGCTTCACTCAAGGGTTCTGGGGCCATATTTTCTTCTCTGCCCTACCTTGCTCGACCCACTCCTGCTGCTACCATTTTCACACCAGTCCTTTCCCTCCCTGCCAGTTGGCCCTGCTACACACACTTCCGCTCTCAGACATCTTTGTCTTCACTGATGCCTCCCCCTGCTCCACCCACGGATGCCTTCCTCACCAACCAGGTGGAATCCTTGACTCAGGAGCAACACTGCAGAGTCAGCATAGCCTGTGGGAGTCCTGGTGTTAGCCACCCAGGGATGCAGGAGACCCTGTGACAACAATCTCATAACAAGGGTCACACCACACTATGGTGGTTAGACAAGCCTTGGCATGGAGTGGGAGAAGTGTACAGTGAGTTTAACATTTCCTGATCCCTTTCACAATACTAAAGAATGGGAGGCCCTACCCTTAATGATGCTGAATTTGTATTTGAACCTGCCCCCAATAAACCATTTGAAGAACTGGAGATCCAGTTGCCAATAAACTGCTCTGTGGATGTCCTAACAGTTAAAAGGGAATAGCAATGACTAAATGAAGGCCAGGGGGTTATGTCACTGGAAGACCCTGTATAGCCAGAGGATAGACAAAGACCTCACCACTCATCATGAGCTCTGTGGAAAGCGGAAGCGCAGGAGATCCTCATTCATAGTGGGAGATGACACGTGGACACCTCAAGGACTGACATCCCTTCTGGGCACAGGCAATACTCCTGGTGACCGAAGACCCATTAAGGGGTCATGGCTGAGCTTGTTGTGAGGTCTTGTCCCCTCTGTTTTGGAACCATGTGACGTGGTGGCCCTGGCCTCCACATTTGGTGATCTTCACCAAAGATCAGCGCGTTCGAGATGTGGCAGCTATTGTTGGGGACAGCATGGCTGACTTGGTGAGTAAGTGTAGGGGACAGAGGAACCAATGCTTTCAGCTCAGAACTAAGGGGATGGGTGACACTGCATTTCTCTTTCTCGTAGAAGGAAGAGAATGGCTCCCATTGCTGTGTTGCCAGGATATGAGGGTGGGAAAGGACGTTTGTCTCCCTGTGAGATCCATGGCTACCCACCTTCCTTATTGCTCCTTCAGTGAGTACCATCCCCCTCCCCTCAATCTTGGGCTCCAATATTCTGTCCTCAGGGCTACCACAGGAAGTCCTGCCACCTTTTAAGTGGGGGTCAAGAAGAGACTGATTCATCTTAACCCCTCACCTCCAACTTTGTCATTGACTATAACTTCATCCCTGGTCTTCTGCCCCCTCTCACTGGTATCCATCCCTTCTCCAGATGTGACAGGGTTTTTTTTCTGTTACCTTCTTTCTCCTATCTTGGTTCCTACCTCATTCCATGCCCTATCTTCTCCGCATATTTTGGTCCTGCTCATTCTTCACGGTGACCCTCCTCCAGGAACCTCCAGTTGTGGTACTTGGGAGGCCATTTTTGTTCTGTGTGGATGGACTGCTCTGGAGGGTCACAGTCTGGACCCATGGGGAGGTCAGCAGCTTCTGGATCAGGAACGCTGCAGGTACTTCCGCATGTGTGTCTCAAGGCAGAGGGAAGAATTGAGAATGGAGTATGAAGAGTAATCTACTAAGGGAAAGAAATTGTTTCATGTGGCAATCTCTTGCTCCCCACTCTCACCCAGGGATTCCCCAGGACCAGGAGAAAATCCAGGGGTTTCCCAGGACCAGGAGAAAATCTAGGCCACACCTGCTGCTCTGGGCAGTTCTGGATGGTGACCATGAATGACCCCACAGACAAGGACCTGGGAGATCCAGGTCACAGCCAAGGGCGACCCCCAGGTGAGAGTACAAGGTAAGAAGGGAGATATTCCTGGGAAGGGAAAGGAAGGGGAGGGGAAGGGAGGGGATATTGCAGAGCTCAGAGAGCAATGTCAGTCACATTCATCTGGGGAAGGTCTTTGAGTGCCTTCACCTCCCTCAGCTCAGACCTCCCTGGACTTCGGGATCCCAATGGAGAATGGCCCCCACACTAGCCTCTACCCCCTGACTCAGCCAGTTGCAGACATCTATTCCCCCCCCAACTTGTTCATTAATTTTATGTTTGTAAAATTCTCCATATATTTAACTTTCTATTGAGTTATAACTTACATATTTTACGTAAATGTGCACTCAAGTGCACAGCTGGATAGATTTCATATAATACACCCATGTAACCATCACTCAGGTCAAGACTTAGAAGATTTCTAGCCTCCCAGATCTCCCTCCTGACCCTTCCTGTTAGGTAGCCAAGGTGGCTAAGAAAGGACCAGGGGCCAAAAAGTTCCAAATAAGGGCTTTTATTCAAGGCAAGACAGTGCGATCAGGCAGGCTGAGTCTGAGCAGGCTACAGCAGCAAGGGAAAGGGTGGAAGGGTTTTTAAGAGTGTGCAGCAGATCCCCAGGGAGGGTGGGTCACCCTGCTAATCACCCTGCTAATCTGCCCCAGGTGTCTGGGAGATTTATGGGTCTTGCCTCTGGGAAAAGCTTGAGGGAGAGGGGAGAGGCAATGAGGATTCAACCTGTTTCCAGCAGGATGCTGGTGGCTCTGTCTCAGTTGCTTCTGGTAATACGGAATCTCGTTGTCAGGTATTTAGTAGGTGACAGCATACCTTCTTTGTTGACGCACACCTTTGTTCCAGCATAGGCAGTGGCTTAGGTGCTCTCTGTCCCAGTAAATTCTAACACTTCCCATCAATACTCCCCAGAGGTAACCCCTTTTCCCCATCCCTACTCCCCAGAGGGAACCCCTATTTTGAAAGCCACTCATTCCATTCTTTTCTCCTTGTCCCAGAATCTCACTCAGACCACTGTTCTCCCTGCCCCTCCCCTGCCTCAGGTCTCCAGACCCAGCTGTTGGTAGAAGTGACAAGGTTGGACTCCAGAGGTCACCCTGGTCATCCTCTGCTTCACATCTCCCACATCATCCTCCGATGGGGGTGCAGAGCTGGGGCCGAGTGCCCTTGGAGGCCAGGGCAGCCCATGAGTGAGGTCTCCTCGCAGCCTCACTTCCTGCCCACCCCCAGGCCCTTCTCTGTGGAGCTGATCGGCCCGGAGGAGGAGCGCCCTGCACCCGACTGCCTCCCAGCCCAGCACTGTGGTTGGGATCCTTTGGGAGGTGAGACGCTTGGGGAAGGTCTGGCTGAGGCTAGGGAGAGCTGGGGCATCTCCTCCCCTGACTCACCCTTCTCCGTAGGTCTGAGGCCTTCTGATTTCCTGGCCCTGAGCAGTAAGGCGCCCCCTCCACCCCACCCACGAGACTTCATATCGCCAGTTTCTCCAGCCCTCAGGATCTCGATCTTGGGACATGTGTCAGCTCCACCTTTGCTCTCACCTCCAACCTCTCCACGTGAAGAAGCTGAGCCCTCCAGCTTCTTTCTGTCACCACACTCAGGCGTGGGATCTGGTACACACTTCTAAGCCCCGCCTCTGGCCCCTTCTGATTGGCCCTCAGATTCTCCCCTCCCCTCCTCCCGGCCCTGGCTCCACTCCCTGACTCTGAGCTGTTTGGTGCCAGGGTTTCAGATGGCTGTCCCTCTCCGCTCTGCAGGGATTGCCGGGAACAGAATGAGTGCGCTTGAAGGGCACCTGGGCTGGAGGTCCCAGTGTCAGCCGCCCCGGACTCCATGGTGGTGGTGACCATGACTGCGGTGTGTCAAGAAGCTAGCCCAGTGCCCTTGTGCCTTCCTCCAGCTTCTGGTGCTTGTCCAGGCCCCACAGATGAGGTGCCCCCACTTTCCATTGCAGGGTAGGCCGGGCAAGGGGAAGCTTAATTTGGATGCAGACACCCAGAGAGTTCTCTCTTCTCTACCCAGGACCAGCTCGCTGCCCCTGCCCACTGGTGTTCTCACTACGGCCAACCCTACCCTTTGTCCCTCCCTTTCCGTGAGGGGCGGCAGGGCTGGAGGAAGGCTGGCAGGCAACCCCTGCTGGGGCACAGTTGGAGGGGTGCTGTTCCTCCTAGGCTTGGTCTCCTGGTGACAACAGCCGCTAGATTGATGGTTTTCCAGCGCTATTTTCAAACTTGCTCCATTAGTGAGAAGATAATATGGGCCTTGGGACGCTACCTCACCTAGCTGGGCTGGAGGTTTTCCTTCTCACCCTCTTGTCCCTTCTCTTAACAAGATTGAGATAGAGGGTAATAGATTTTCCCACAATGCACTTTCCCTAGGGATGTAAACCAAAGACTCATTGTTTGAGAAAGTTACTTTTTATTTCTCTGTAGCATCTTTGTTCCACTACTTGTTCTTGCTCTTCCAAGCTCAGGTAGAGAGGAAGATATATGGGGAGGAGACAAAGCTAGGGAGTGGAGTAAAAGGGTACCAGAAAGTGTTATTTATAGAATTGTTTTTATTTGAACTTCTGGAGAAACTTCTATTCTAGTATTGTATTAAAATTGAAAGACAGTTTCAATAAACATGTCTTTTCCCCAGAGAGATTTCAAAGAAAGATCATTTATGCATATCGTATAGGAGAGTGAGGGCATAAGATACCAAGAAAATGAAATGGAAATTTTCAGGAGCAGATAAGAAACTTCACACCAGGATGTTTAGACTTCAGTTAACCCACAACGTGGAGCTATTTAGCTGTTGAGTCAGGAGGCAAGATAAGAAGGTTCTGACTCATCCTCTTCTGTTACCAACTGAGTGGAATGACAGGAGGCCTTAGACACTGGCAGGGTCCCCCCCCCCCCCGACTTGGGGAAGCCGGGCTGAGCAATTCAATCTGTAATATTATAATAAAAAGAAGTTGCAAAGAGATTTCTTACAAAGTTGTACTTGAAAATGCACCTGTGTCACATGTGAGTTAAACCTCCTTCTTCTGATCATTCCAACATAAAGTCAAATTTTTAAATTGTTACAATGCTGAAAGATGATTTTAAAATATACATTATAGGAAAATTTTTTCCTACCATTTATTGGTAGTTTCATTTTCTATAGAATCTGGTGCCTGCCCCCATCCTTCTACCTCCCAATCCAGTCTATTAGTAAGGCCAACCAATCTTTGCAGTGTGATTTTGAATTCTCATGTACTGCTCTGGGCAACAGAGTAGACCTCTGCTTTCCATGATCACTGCCAGGTTAGTACCCTTCCAAGTGGGGCCCCAAACATATGATCTTACTACCATCTGCTTCTGAGTCATAGCTGATTAGACCAGAGATAGTTAATACACTCAAGTCGCAATAAAATAACCTTTAGTTATTTGTTTTCAGCAGACAAAAAACAACACATGATGAGAAACATGAATTTCCTGAGATCCTCTTGGACCAGGCGCCTCCCGCACCCTCGCACACGTGCTGAGTCTGGAACCTTCAATCATTGAACATATTAATCTCAAACAATAATCTAAAACAATAAATCTCCCTTTTTGGCTGAATGACCCCTTTCTGCTGTGTTGACAACTCCTGGAGAAAAGATGAGAAACAGCCTGGACATCTGTGCTCTGCCCTTCCCCTATTTCCCTCCAGTTTATCTGTTGCTGCGGTAAGTTCTGCCTCCTTGGCCTCCTCTGCCAGTCTTGGATGGTACCAGAACAAGCCTGTTCAAGGGACTCTGGGAGAACAGGGGTGATACTCGATGTTCTCATTTAAACCAGTGTTAATCCCATGTCTCCAACTCAACCTCCCAACCAGGGATATCCAACCTTTTGGTGTCTTTGGGCCTCACTGGGAGGAGAAGAGTTGTCTTGGGCCACACATTAAATACACAAACACTAATGAAAACTGCTGAGCAAAAAAAAACGGTTTTAAGTGAATTTATGATTTTGTGTTGGGCCACATTCATAGCCATCCTGGGCCACACAAGGCCTGAAGGCCGTGGGTTGGACACCCCCAAAACAATAAATTAACCTTCCCCTGAATTTCTGCAAACAGATATTTACCTTTTGAATCTGGGCTAACTGGGGACCACTAGGCTCTGAGTCTAAATGTTAGAAAATTCTAAGGGAGGAGTCGGAGGCTGACGGTGTGAAAACTTGAGGTCCATCTGCCACTCTTCTTCATCACCACCGGCCCTTCCTCTTTTCCATCTGGATCCCTTCATCCCAATACCCCTCTAAGACAGGTGGGAGAATCCAGTACTCTCCACTCCATCTCTTTAGCAGTCCAGTTCCTCCATCCCCTCAAGTAGCACATTACCATCTTTCCCTATGGATCCTCCCTGTCCATCCCGAACCCATGGGAGTAACCCAGGCCACTCCCCAAAGTCGTGAGGGATCCAAACACTTCTGTCTGAATGGAATGCAGACCAGTCTCCTCCAATCCCAACAACAAAAGCCAACCTAACACTTACTGGCACCCTATTACAATGCTGCTTCTAATTCATGATCCCTGCCCATTAACTCTCCTTTTCAGCGTTGTGTCAGACCTGTCCACATGTCCTTGCTCCCCATCCCACACACCTGAGGCAACCCCATACCTCACCAGGGGCCTCCACACATAGTTGCTGTTGCAATGTGTTTGTTTATTGATTTAAGAGAGAGACAAAGAAATGTTGGTTTGTTGTTCCACTTATTTATGCATTCATTGATTGATTCTTTTTAAAAACAAATTTATTTTTAGAGGGGAAGGGAGGGAGAGGAGAGAAACATTGATGTGTGAGGCATATGTCTGTTGCCTTTTGCACCGGCCACAACTGTGGACCTGGCCCACAACCCAGGCATGTGCCCTGGCTGGGGGCTGAATCAGTGCCCTTTCAGTTTGCAGACTAGTGCTCAATCCACTGAGCCACACCAGCCAGGGCATCACTGCATTTTTAAGGAGGCAGAACAGGTTCTTCTGTAGACTCCTGCTTGGTGTTTCATCTCTTTTCTAATCTCTTTGTTTTGGTTGGAATAAGAAAACAATAACTTTCTCTAAAACAAGCTTTATTCCTAATATGAAACAAAATTTCCACGGAAACTGGGAACTCTGGGTCTTAAGAAGATAATGAAAGGAAGAGGGTGTGGCAGCCCACAGGGGCTTGGGAAGTGGAGGAAGGCTGAGGAGGGACTCTCAGAGGATGGTGGTGGCCACAGGCAGCACTTCCTGATTCATGAAAATCTCCAGGTCCAGGCTGGGATCTTCCAAATCCAGTTTCAGAAACTTATCTACTAATGTCTGGCAACTGAGGGGAGAGAGAACAGAGAGCTATATGAGATAATTGAGTCCTGAGCAGAGGGAAGAGGCTGTGGCACAGGAAACTGAGACCTTAAAAATCCAGGGATTTCAAAAACAGTGGGTAAAGAGGCTTTCTGAGTCCCTGAAAGGGAAGAGCTGCACAAGATGCTAGAGAAAAAGGAACCTGGGTCACACACTCACTTCTCTATTTGCTTCTCCTTTAGCAACTCCTTGATAGGCTTGATGGGTTTTCCACTGCGGATCAAGTCTGAGACCTAGGCAGAAAAAGGAAGAGGGAAGGAGTGGGAGGAGTAGAAAAGAGGAAAGAAAAGAACAATAAGGGTCAGAAACCCAGGTGCTAAGAGGGGCAGAGCAGTGGAAGCAAGCCCTGACAAACATGGTTCACATAAGGATCTCCTCACCTCCCTGCCACGAGCGATGAGCTTGTCAGGAAGCCTGGCCTGGGCAGCTGTGTGGGAGGCATGGCTGGCATTGGCAACACCTTTGCAAACCCGATAAAGGAAGACAAGGTCGTTCCCATCCTCACAGGTCTCCATGGTCTTAAAAAAGAATAAAAGGGGATAGTGTGTCATCATCACTCAACTTCCTGCCCCGAAACTCATGGCCAATCCCTGTGGGGAGTGAGGAAAGGAAAGAGGCATGGTCCCTGTGTTTAGGGAGCCCCTGTTCTGATGAAGGAGCCAGTCTGCAGCTCTGGGAAACACTTGTCTTAGGGGCCCTTAGGGGGCTAGATTAGTTTCCTCACCAAGTACTGCACAGGGGACCCCTGTGGCAGCAGCTGTAGCTGAATGAGGCTCAGAAAGTTGGTGGCCACAAAGATGTGGGGACATGTGGGTCCAAGTGAGAGCCAGTGTCGGAGCACAGCAGCCAGAAGTGCAAGCCCATCTACCTGTACAGAGGACAGGGGTGAGGGTGCAGAACCATGGGTGCCCCATGCGCATCCCCTCCACCTGCCTTGGCCTTTCCTATCTTGTACTTTTCTGCCCACACCCCTTTTTTCCTGAGGCCCACCTTCCCTCTCCTGTTCCTTTGTCCTCCCTCCATTTTCCCCTCTCAGTTCCTCAGCAGTTTCTCCCCTCACCGTATTGGTTCCCTTTCCGAATTCATCAATAAGGACTAGAGACTGCTCCGTGGCATTGTTCACTGCTTTTGCCACCTGCTGGGTACCAGGTGGACAAAGGAGAGTTCATTAGCATTTGAAGCCTGTAACACACTGACCACAGTCTGCCTGTGAATAAAGCTGCTTGTATTATGTATCCACCCTACTGGGCTGCAAGTTCTTTAGTGGTGATATGCATGTTTTGTTCACCCTTTCATTGCCAACAGCGCCTGACACAAAGCAGGTGTTCAAAAGAGATTCTCTGGTATAGAGGGCAGTCCACAGAGGGAATGCTCTTCCTGTTCTGATCATTTTCCAGGGGTCAAGTTCCTTCACCATTACCCCCTCCCTCAATTCCACCTCTCTTTGCTCCATTTGACCTGGTTGAGGTCGATCATGAAAGTGGAAAGGCCAAGGGAGATGGATTCGCAGCTATGAATTCGGGTGAAGATGGCATCTACTGCCCCAATCTCGGCTTCCTCTGCTGGCACAAAGCTGCCCACCAGGGCCATGAATGTGATCAAGCCTACCTGAGCAGGGAAAGAGACAGCCTGAGGCCTGGCGGAATAGGCTGAGGTGATGAGGCTAAATTGAGAGGTAAATAATAGATCAAAGAGGCATGGGCACAGTTTAATAGAAGATTGTAGGCCCTTCTACTCACTAGAATCAGTAGAGAGGGACAGAGAGTTGGCAGGGACACAGTGGGGAATGACATGGGCCTATTCAGTGGTAAGGGAAAGGAACTGAGGCCATGGAAAGATCTA